TCATTTCTCCTGGAAGATAGTTAATAGTGGAAATGGACAAAAATAATCTCCCTATTGGCCCCACACTGCACTGGACCCTCTGCTGCTGGCAAGGATGGTTAGCAGTGGCTGAGAAGGGAACAAGACCAAGCATGCTGGGAAATAAGCTGATGTGGGCAGACTCCATGAGGGTTGCTCTGAATGCCAAAGCTGATGGCCCAAGCAAACTGATATGATATTGTAACATAGTATAACGTAACATAGAGTTTATCCTCATAACCACCATTCACACTGAGATCACTAAGGAGCGAGCTTCAGGAAGGGGAATGAAGCATTTGTGTGTAGGATGTGGAAGGAATGAGGCTTTCCCTGAGCTTTGAATGGTGAGAAGGTGTGATGAAGACGTTGTGCTAGAGAAATGGTGATGGCATAGGGGCCGCCTATCTTAGCATTTTAGTTTGATTTGAGAGTGTGGTTTCAAAGAAAATTTCCTAGCTATTGCTGCTCATCTCACTTCAGTCCTCGTTGTGGTGCTCAGAGCACAGGCTGTGTCCCATGGGGGATTGCTTGTGCTCCAGGTGTGCACCTAGTGCATGCCAGGACTAACGGGCTGGTCTAGTTCAGGGTACTCTGTGCCCTGAAATGCATGTGGTGTGTATGCTGGTTCCTCAACAGCCCCTGTTTCATTCTCCAGATCTGCTTCTACTAAGCCATGCTGATTGTTAATGTAGACAAGCTGGAGAGGCAAGGAAGAAAGAGTTTCTAGATACCAGGGAGCAGTTAGGAGCCTGAATACATTACTGTTTGCAGGGTGGGTGATTATCTTTTGTAATTGCAAAGCCTAGGGATTATAAAACAGCTGAAATCGCTGATATCTTCCCAATTTCCATAGCAAGTTCTTAAACCAAAATCATAGAAAAGAGTTATATGCTTCCAATGCTGAAGTCAAATATAGTCTTAGTGAGGTCAGGTGTAATCCCCATTCACATCCAAAGCAGTGGCACCTAGTTAATGCATGGAATGAATTTCAATAGCTGTCCTTTTGCTGCGTCCTGTTTTCTGGTCATAGCACCTAAGGAGTTGTAGTATAAGGGAATTAGGAACAGAGGAGGTGCTGATAAGCTGTGGTTCGTCAGAGCTTCCTGATCCCTTGAAGCCTGAGCATTCAGTAACTGAGGAAGATAGAGATCGTGCTGGATGATACTGAGAAAAAACATTAATCAAACTCTGAGGTTTAGCTATTGCACTTATCTCTATCTTGCCTGCAGTGTTAGTATGTGCGTTCACTGAGAGTCTGTGTGACTGATAAAGTGCTTTTAACTAGAGACAATTTTTTTTTTCCCAACTCTAATTTCAAACCATAGGAACATCCCAGATTTGATGTCAAGAGCTCATGTTCCTCAAGTGTCAATGTTGTGAAGTCTTATGATGCTATCATGAATCTAGAAAAACTCTTTTGCTTGTGGGAATTTAATTTTTATTTTTATTTAAATGAAAGCCAATTTGTACCCTTTTTTGCAGTGGAGAAAATGCGAAAGGCTTAGATTTATCTCAAATATATTTCTTAGAGTCTTCTTGTAGTTGATTTAGGGGTTTTATTCAGTCCCAACACACGATTTTTCACTGAAGTGTTGAAGTAAGTATTGAGAGGAGAACAACCTTAGTCTCAGGTTTTTCCAAAGTTCAGTAGTGTTTTTTCTCAAGATTTAGCTGTGGACTCTTTAACTCTGCAGAAAGAAATTATGAATAGCAAAATTTGCATACTGTCCTCTTTATTGATAGAGCTGATTCCTGCCTCAGGTGAATGCCATAGCAGCTCTGTTAGGAACCAGTGGCATCACAAGTGCATTAAATCAGTTTAAGGCAGATCAAAATCAAGCATATATTACATGCCTGTATTTAATTACTTTTGAAATCTTCCAATAAAAGAACAGGGCTGGGTCATAGCAAACTTCAAAATGAGGAGATAGTGGTAAGTAAGCAAGGGAAGTGATGCTTGCTTGACACAGCATAAAAATCTCTTAGGCTTTTATGGTTTTACAGTTTATACTATTTGTACAACAATCTGCCCTTGCTTGGGCCAACTTTTCCTGAGTAAACAGTCACATATCAGTACTCTATTTCAAATTCTGTTGTAGGCTTGGTATGAGAAAGTAAAGTCAGATCAAATTTAAAACCTGATGCCAATCTTCTATTGCCCTGCATACTCTCACTTATGCAAGAAGGGCGTAAACCACTCTGATCTGAGCGGTACTTTTTAACAGTACTAAGTAAATTAGCTGTGTGAGTAGCTGTGCAAAATGCTAAACATTGCCTATGTTCTGCATTTTTGCATAGTCACTTCTGTAAACATATGATTATATAACATATAATATGTGGGATATTATAGCTGCAGACTTTCATTGGTGGTTTAGGTATGCAATGTAAGCCAAACGTGTAGGTGTCTTCCAGCCTGAATGCAAATGAGTGTGAAATCCATATTTGGTTAACAACAAGTATGCCCACCTTGTCTGGAAATTATTTAACCACATTAATAGTGCTCAGGGAATCTCAGAGAGGGCTATTATCTTGTGCAGAGACACCAGCCAAATTTGTAATTGTAACTTGATCCACTCATTCTTGAATATGTGTCCTACTCTGAATGTTGAGTTTGGAGATGCACAGAGTATGCACCAGCTGCATGCTCACCTTAGTGTGTATGCATATGCTGGGACATGCACAGCCTGAATGCTGAACCACTCTTCCTTGTAAAACTGTTGACATTTCTGCCTGGGAGAGGAAAGGCTGCTGGTACATCCCTTGACTGACAAATGAGTGTGTGCAGGAGAAAGGGATAAGGATAGCAAATGCAGAGCTCCTTAAAATGTACTGCGTGCATTGTCCAAACTTGCAGCACAGTTGTTTCATGATTAAACAAATAGCACATTGCTCAACTTAGTCTTCTTGCTGTGGTAGAAGCAGTGTTTTGAAATTTAATTGACTTCATGTGGCACTGTAGAAATGGATGGCAGATCAATAATGAATGCCATTTCAGTCACCTTGTGGTGTTGTAATTCTCTGTGTTTTGCTACACTAATTAGGTCTGACTTCAGTGAGAAGCATTTCAGGAGCAAGGGGGTGAATTATTGCTGAGTTCCTGGCTGTCACTGGGGAGATGAAGTAATTTCAGTACTGAGTAACCTCAGCGATTTCAGGAGCCAGCAACTTAACAGCAAAGCAGAAGAGGGAAGAGCTCACATTATATTGGTGGTGTTGTACAGTGAGTTTGGGGCTCAGCTAGTCCATGACTTAGGATTCAGCTGGAAGAGCTTCGGAAACCAGAAGGTACTCTTACCCCATAGTTGGTGTTTAATGACTTAATTGCTCTTATTTACACATTCCCCCAGAGACGAAGAGTTTCTTCCAAACAGGTGAGTATTTCCTTCATTTGGATCCAGGGCTCTTCCTATGAACCCAGAGAGAGTCGCAGGTAAGAGTGGTGCATGCGAGATGGGCCCCTGGCTCTGATCCCTTCCCACTCCCAAAATCACTGTGGAGAAACAGCTCAGGGCATAGAATGCAGTTTGCTTCCATGTAGCAAACCCAAACACTATTAACTGGAGGCAATGGCAGCTCTTTGTCTGTTAATTGGAGTTGGGGAGTTTGTTGTGAAATGTGGGGAAGAGAACTGGCTTGTCTCTCTTCTGCAAGAGCAAGCTGTTGGTGTCTGAAGGAAGAGAGGCTTCCCCCCAGGATGCCTCGAGGCTTCTCTCTGACAGCATGCTTTCGCTGTGTCATAAAGAAAATGGATGGATCAGGTATAGAAGCTGGGGAGAGCAAGTGCTCTGAGGCCACTCAGTATGACAGACCAGTGCCATGCTTTTTTGGGAAAGTATGTGAACTCTTTCC